ATATATCTCCTGATATTGTGCTGTAAGCATTGCTCTTACTACTTAAAGGTCTTAGGAAGATAAGGACCCGAGCTGTTTTGAACAGTAACTTCTCTAAAGAAATGGTGGCAATGGTTGCAGTGTAATGGGATGCTTGGCAGAGCTGCGTAATGAAAGATACAACTCAGAAATCACAGTCTCATGCAGGGGCCGTGATGCACCGTTGTGTCTCCCCAGGAGCTTCAAGAGGGTGCACTCTCATGTCCTGACTGGATCCTGGCTGAGAGGCACCTTTTGCCATTCACAGCTCCAAAAGTGCACTAGGATATGGCTCCCTCCAGGAGATGGATCAGTTCCTGGTTAGAAATGGCCTTCCAAGTGGGTGTTTGCTTCTTTTTTTTGTTTTTCAGGTTTCTGGAAAACAAGGTGTTAAATAAAATTATTTCCTTACTCCATACCCTGTGGCTAACAAATTTAGGAGGCAAGAGAGAAAGCAAGAATCAATCCCAGGAGAACAGGAAGTTTCTTCCTATTCAGCTTGTCAATGAATTTCTCTATGTTTTGACCACATTGATCAAACACATTCGGTAAGTATTTTATTTTTTTTAATCTATTTGCATCTTATCCTCTGTGCAGTTTGAAATTTATTAAGACTGAAAGAATTTTTTGATTTCTAGTAGTTTAGTGGATTTTTTCCCCTTCAGTTTGAATGTTGAGTTGTGAATTTTGGTGAGATTTCTTTGGCAGGAAGGTTTAGCTGTTTAAATACATGGGGAGTAAAAGAACAGCCGATGCACAGTCAAGTTCTTCATCCTTAATTACTGGCCGTTTTTAAGCTACCAAGTTTTAGCCTGCAGTCAGCAATGCTGTTTTCTGCAAGGATCTTCCATGCTCTGTGAAGGTTTAGACTTCCTGTGCCTGCACCACACGTGCAAATTGTACAAGGAGAAACCATGCACGGTTCCACACAGCCGTGTTCAGAAGGGGTCAGTCCAGATCCAGAGCACCTAACCCGTCCAAGCACAGCAGCTGCCGTGGGGATAGTAGAAAGCAAATGGGTAACCAGTTCTGTTTAGGTTCATAGTAGCACCTGTAGCTGTCCCTGCAGACAAGTATTGGCACAGCCTGGAGAAGCTGTGTATTTTTCCTCAAAATTTTGTAAATTCCTGCAGAATGAAGAAGCGTAGGTAAAGCTCCAGAACTCTGGCGTTTTCCTTCTGTGCCATCTGCCTTTGCTATTCACAGTCAGGAGGGCAAAGACTATGTCTTACGGTCTGTTCTGCCAAACCCTAATGGAGCAAAGCGCTGGGGATTCAGTGGGAATGAAGCTACTTATTACTGACATCCTGAGAAACAAAAGTATATGTCCAGAAGACTGCAGGAGGAAACTGTAGGAAGAGACTGTAAGGAGAAAAAACAACGTGTGCTTCTTTTATTAATTAACATGCAGAAAAATACATGGCACTTCTGTTTTCTTTTCATAGGACTAATTTAGATCTGACCAGACTGCCTCAGTTTTTCGGCACCCTCAGTTCTGTGCTGGAGTATCGAGCCGTAGTTGTTGAGGCCTTCAAAGAAATGAGCCGGTTCACGGTGAATGACAGCGTCCTCTCCAGCAAAGAGGTCCTCCTGCTGCTGCAGAAGTGGAGCGTGGTCGAGAAGGACCTGCAGCTGCAGGAGGATGTGCAGACCCTCGCTCAGAAATACCAAGTCAAAGAATTGCTCAGTAGGTACTCAGATGTTTCGGAGAAGTAACATTGTGGAGGCTGTTACAAGCTCAGCATACAAGTGACGCAAACTTCATAGTATTCATAACTTTTTTTGGACAATGATAGAGCTTGGGGGAGAAGGAATGGAAAGGGAAAGCCACTTTTCAGGTCTTTGTTGTAGTAATTTCTAACTTGAAACACAATTCTGGAAGCTTTCAAGAAACACAGCTTTAAACAGGAAAGAGCTTTAAAATGAAACTTAGTTGCAGATCCAGTGTTGGGCTTAGAAAAAGTGTATTTGTAAATGAAATTGTAAAAAAAAGAACAATGCCTGGAGGCTTTGTGCTCAAAGATTTGAATCACTCTGAGTGTGGGTGGGGGATCTGAAAATGAAATATGAGTAAAGGCTAACAGTAAAGTAAATGAAAATGAAATAGTTAATTTTTCCTATTGTCATCAGTGTTGGCAGAAAGCAAAAATACATTTGGACTTGTATGACTTCTGTCATGGTATCTGTGATTAAAATGTACAGGGAGCTTCGTAATGGGAGGTGTTAAACAACGCTGGTTTCCTGCAAAGGCAACAACTGCTCTTGGTGCACATTAAAACTTCTATAGGTTTCTTTAAATGTTCTGTGTCAATTAAACTATTTAAAGTATTTAAGGGATACTAGAAAAGCTTTTGTTTTTCTAAAATTTTTCATGCCCTTTTAGTGTCTTTCTGAGGATTTTTAGAGTTATGATAGTGACATCTGTAACCTACATATATGTGTGATTTTAAAAAACTCAGTTGCTCCAAGCCTCAGGAGCTTCTAAAGCAGTTATAAAAATGGGTCCTTATCTGAAATTCTATTTCTGAGGTTACATTTCGAGAGTTGTCCCCACCCCCTACAGCTCCTGGGGAAAAAAATGCTGAAATGCACTTAGTTCATTTTAATTTGCAGAGTGCAACGTAATTGAAATTTCTGATGATTTTCTCAATGACTCCTTGAAAGCAAACTGCTGCAAAATGCTCTCTGTGGGGTGGTGGTGGTGGGAAAGTGCTGCTGCTGCTGGGGAGCTTGGCTGCTCTCCTTACAACAGGCAGCATCGCTACCCCAGACAGTAGCGGCTTGAGCATTTCTTGTGAGGTGGCGTAAATGTTGTGGCATTACTGGCAAAAACAGCACGTTCTGGGTCTCTGAAATGCTGCCTTGGCCTGGCTGGGCTGTGGGCCAGGGCCTGGGTGGCATTACTGCTCCCCTCAAAGTTGGGTGAGTCACTGGGAGCTGCCTGCAGCCCATTTGCTTTGAGTTGCATAGGCCCAATTAGGCTGCTAAATGAGGCCGGTGCTTATCCTTTTAGCAACTGAAACAACGCGTGATACCGTCTGTCTGGCATCATTTTGCACTTAGAAACCCCTTGGAGTATCTGATGTTTGTTTTGGTGGTGGTTTTCTTCTTACAGAAAATATTAAAGAAAAGAACAGATCTCAAGCCTCATCTCATGCGTATCACCACAGTCGGAAAAAGCAGGAGATGGAGAGAGAAGACGACATGGCTGCAGACCTGAAAGCCTCCGAGCTGCAGAAGTGCAGAGAACATCTGACTGCCATATTTGCCCACTGGGAGCCCGTTTTCCCAGCGCCGCCTACCAAACATCTAGGGGAGCCGCTCACATCTGCTGCCCTTGCAGATGAAGCTGTCAGTCTTACCTGTGCCTCCACGTCCATAGTAACTAAATGGCTCCTAAAGTCCATGGTTGAGCACAGCCTTAATACACAAAACGCTTCGTTAACCCTGCGGTGGCTGCAGAATTGCATCTTGCCGCACCCGGTGGCAGTGCAGGAGATGCTGCGGGACGAGACATCGAGGAACAACATCTTCAAGGTCTACATGCGGCTGTGGGAGGCCGGCAGGGGCACGGATGCGCTCCTTAAAGAGCTCTGCTTGTTCAGCTTGGTCATGCTGCGCCTCATGGACACTCAGGGCCTGGCCAACAGCAGCGTTCATGAACTTGTGAAAAGATTGTGCCTGTCAGCCGTGACGGAAGAGGATGCGACCGAGAAAGGTAACTCCTCTTTTCACTCATGTTACAAGGTGCAAATGGTAGAAAATAGGTAGTTTCTTCTGATTTTTAATTCATCAAAGCAGCCTGAAGTTTGCCTGCCTGTTGGTGCTCACCACAAAGTGAAAGCTGTGTCTTTGGTGGTATGGGTGCAGAGGTTGGCAGCACAGAATGGGGTCATGCCTTAGGGGGCTCTGATAGTGCAACAGTCACAGTCTCTCAAAGAAACTTTCCTTTTTGGGATTAAAATGGACTTCAGTGAGGTATAAAAAATTATAACCCTAAGGGAAAAATCCTCTGTAACAAATGAGTCCGTATGGATATGGGTTCTGGTCCACATACTGTTCAGTGCTATCATTTGACAGCAAAAGCCACAGGGCAGATTTCAGACCTTTTTATTTAAAGATGTCAGAAGGTTGTGCTAACAAGGAACTGGTTTCTTCTGCCTGTGTGGGGAGGATCATTGGCTTTATATGAGTAAACACCCTAAAAATTTTTCATCTAGGAAAAAGAGTTAGGAAACTGTTTTAAAAAGTGAGTCTGGAGGTAAAATGGTTTGGGTTTGTATTGCTATGTGGAAATAGTAGAATATATCTTCTAATTTTTCTCCAATGTTTCTTCCACAGCTGCTCGTGTATTCCTGACTTCTGTTTACATTGGGGACATATGGCTTGGAGCACAGGAGCCAGATATGTTAATGACCCATGTCAAATTGATCTGCAGTGGTACAGATGATAAATTAAGCGATGATGACTTGGAAACTCATAAACAAGGAGAAGAAACTATTATGCCTCTTTGCAAAACCCTTTACGTGGCTACACTGGGGCATTAATTCAGTGTGCTGACACTTAATCTTTAATGTTATATGCTCTGCCATCGTTGCTGTGAGCCATGAAACCCTCCTGAACTGTTCTCCATACAAATCTAACTTGTTTTGTCATAAAGATCAATATTTTATTACTGTGTGCAAACTCAGAGGGGGGAAATTGTATTCATCTTCTCTTAGTGGAACATTAAAGCCATAATTTCCCTTTTCTTGAGCAGTATGGGACACTGAATGTTATTTATATCATTTTTATTAAAGGCATTTTTAACTTTATGAAGAACCAAAAAAAGAGTGATTAGTGCATTTCCTCTGGGCTGTATTTCAGTCCCCATGTAGTTAAAATCCATCCTCTCCCCATTATAAGATGGGGAAAAAAGATTGCACAACTTCACCACAATGTGGTATAAGTGCAAAGAAGGAGTAGGCAGAGGTTTAGGCACAATGATGTACTATTTCTTGAAGAACCCAGTTTCTTTCATGATATATGATACCAAAACTCGTACGAACAGAAGACTGAACACCGAAATAATGAGGGTCAGGTATTCTTCTGGTTTTTAAATTAAATTGCTTTTGAAAGCATTTATGTCGAAGCTGGTCTGGTTTTAGTCTCCTTTCTGGATTTTGGTTTTGTGGTTGTTTGGGTTTTTTTAATTACAAAAGCCCTGATCTTCACCACTGCTGGGACTTGCAACAAAGGCACATCTTCTCTCCACTCTTGAAAAGATGAGAGTGGAACTAAAACCCAGAAGACTTGCTGCTCATCGATTATAGATGTTTTTATTGGAAATTCTCTCTGAAATCCGATAAATTTTTCTTGAATGTGGCCTCGAGGGCAGTTGAACACACCACTCCAGATATGCAAACATGCAGAGCCTGGGCTTGAGCCTTTGAAATGTAAAACAGGCTTTGACTCATGAATATGTGCGGTGCCTAGGTACTTTGTACAAATTTTGTACTGGGAAAAAATCAGGAATTCACACTTCTTGTGATGTTTATGTAATGTTCTTTTTTTTAAATAAAAAAGTGTGAAATGCAAATAATGAGGCTTGCTTCTACATATAAATATTCTTGCCATAAAGAAGCCGTAATATCTATAACAAGATTCCATTTAAAAATATAAAATATTTATTGAAAAAGCTGTGAGCCCACTAGAGGCTAAATTTTGTGTCATACAAAATCTCCAGGGTGTCTCATCAGGAAACTTTCTTTGTAATGGAAAAAACATGTTTTACTTCATTAAAAGAAAGTAGGCAAAATGAAAAGAAAGGAGATCCTAGATGAAAGATGTCCTGCCATCTCATCTAACAGGAAAACAAAACACTCATGACACAGTTGTCTCGAGGGACTGAGCACATCTAACAGTGGTTTACAGTATGATTTTCTTGAGAGAATTCAAGAAATTAGGTAAGACCGTTCAACCAAACTAAGGCCAGTGATGCAGAAACATTATTTTCCTATGCAGATCTCATTTTAATTGGCTATAAATTAAATTAACTTTCCCCAAGGTGAGTCTGTTTTGCCCATGGGGGTAACTGGTAAGCAACCTCCCTATCTTAATCCTGTCCTATGAGCTTTTTCATCCCATTTCCCCTCCGTGTCCTGCAGATGGGGAGTAAGTGAGCGACTGGGTGGGGCATCCAGCAGCCAGCCACAGTCAACCCACCACAACATGTAACAGCATAGCCCCTTTCAATCCCCTAATAAATTAACAGACCCCAAATGCCACAACTCAGATGTTACACAGTCTCCAACAAGTTGCAAGCCCAGGATGTTTTTGAGTGTGCACTCGCGTGCTTTGCAGTAGCCTTTCACAGGCCCGTTGGCCATATTTGCTTAAACCAGTAAGTTGTGTGGCTGTGGTGCTTGCATGAGCAGAACTCGTGTGGAAGCTCAACCAGTTGGAAAAGTGATTCCTGAGTGAGATCTGCTGCTGGAAACAGCAGGTGCAAACATTTCTGAATGCAGTTTTCTCACTGCTAAAATAAGGAAGGTAACTTTCGAGCTTACAGCGGGCTTTAGCTAATGAGGTGCACAGTGCTACAGAAGGGGAAAGCAGTACCAGGAGACAGCGACTGTGGCTAGGGCCAGGCACGCGTGGTGGTGTGCTTTCCCCACAGCAGTGCGTCTGAATCCTGACCAATTGCACGTGAATCCGCGCCAAGGGTTCATACTGAAAGGATGATTTTCTGATGGCCTTAAGCGTTCAGCAGTGAGTACTTTCTCCCTAGCTTGTAATGTTTTGTTAGTATCTCAATACTGCTATTACCAAACTACTCAAGGTTGGAGGAAAGGATTGTTCATATGCATTTATTTCCTTTTATTCTTTTTTTTTTTTTAACTGGTAGTTTTGGAAACAGAAAAAGGAAAATAATGCAAGTGAACTGACAATTCTAAGCCTGTCCTGTAAAAGACATATAGCTTATGTGTGCTTATCAATAAAGAGAATATAGCTGTGCATGTGGGAACTTTTAAAAATCAGCCTTAATCTCTCACCGCCTCCGAGCTTCGATATATTCTAGCAATGTGGCAATCAAAAGATAATTATGAAGTTCGAGAAATAATGGTCAAGTATCTTTAAAAGCTGTAGATGGTTAGCAGTTGAATGATTTGTATGTGTGAATTACTGCCAGCATATCCAAAATGCATTTTAATAAATTATATAGATGGAGAGTCATCATCTTAAGAAATTAAGCTTGGTTAAAATAAATTGTGGAGAGCATTTGGCAATGCAAAACCTACCCCAGATGCGGGCCCATGTTTAACAAAAAGGAGTTTTTGCAATTTAATACAAGTAACTCACTTTGATGCTGTTCTTGTGATGAGAACCCTGTGGATGAAGCTCCAGAGTGCTCTGCAGCGGGCCCAGTGGTGTGGTGTCCTTGCCAGGACAGCCCGTTTAAGCCATTTACTCAAAATTCATAAAAACTCAGTGAAGTCAACAGCCCTGAAAAATACGTTGCTTCTTGTTGTACCTGCTGTATAGACCATGTGTGGTTTTGGGTTGCAGATGAGGCTTCTCCAGATTTGAAATGGATCTCGGTGACGGGCTGCTGGTGCTCAGAAGAGGACATCGGACACGCTGGCAGAAGAGGACTTCACATAGCACGAGCAATTGGGCAGAACGATTTGGCCTAGGTGGGAGTGGTGGTTTGGGGCAACATTTTTATAGAAGTCAACTGTGTCTGTGAACGAGCAGAATGAGCTGATTTGGGTCACACTGGTAGGTGCAGCATTTTAACCATCCGTGAATGCTGCAGACCACACAGTTAAAGCCTCTGTTAATGGAGGACTCTGGGGGAAAAGGAAATAAAGTGCTCACCATGGAGAGCAGAGCACTGGAAGGACCTTGAAATGGGTATGTATGGAAACGGCACAGAAGGAAATGCATTTCTCTCCCCCCCCCCCCCAAGTTAGGTGCCATAAGGTAGTCTTGCATTTTGCATATTATTTATTACTGTTTATATACATACTATATGCCTTCCATTTCCAGGTAATTTTAATGGAAAAAGCAAGTCTTTTCAGTGGTTCAGTACTTTCGAGTCATGTTCCAAGTGCAACTAACAAAGAACATCAGTTGTTACAAACGGGAGTATTCACAAATTTCAGAAATCCCCTTGGAATCCATTTGTAGAGAAGAGATTCTTGAAAAACAGGGTGACATGAGTCTGTCACCAGTCAGGAGGAGGATGCTGGAGCAGACGGGGCAGTTCTGTTGTAGGAGAGGCGTTCCAGTTCAGGGCAGCAATGATTCAAGTGCAGTTGCTGCATCCTCGGGGAGGAAAATGGGTTCAGATGGTCGAGTCCTCTCCTGATGATCCTGTGTGACTGCAGTGGGGTTAAAGGTAGCTGTCCCACTTTGTGATGGGACAGCAGGTGTCAGTAAAGGAGTTGGACTACCTCAGCTCTGGCAAAAGGTAAGGGTGCCTGAGGGGAGGGGAAGGCTTTTGTGGCCACCTGAGTTGACCGATGGAAATCTTTGGTTTTCTGATACATCTCTGCCCATGTTGTGCCTTTGGTTTCTGCAGCCTTTCCTTGTTTTCTCCGTCTGCCCATGACTCAGTCTGACTCAACGTGCTTTACGCCTTGACAGGTTTCCAAGCCCAACACCACTAGTAGTCAGTTTGCTCAAAATGCAAACTGCAGAAGTGTTTATCTCAGAGATTTAAAAATTGGAAGATTAAAAAAAGCCCCACAATATAAACACATGCCTGGTGGTTGGGTCTGTCTCTTGTGTTCAAGGCTTTTTTAACACAGCCCAACCCACCCACTCTCTGGTACCACCATAGCCCACAATTCCTGTACGCAGTGTAAGGCTGCTCTGGCAGTGCTTCCCTGTCGGAGTATTTGCTGCCTGTTTGCAGACATGGAATTTCTAAGCTTCTCCTCAAGTTCTGAATGGACTTTGTGTTGTCCTCAGCCCTTGCTATGCCAGTTTACATCTACTCCAGCCCTTGCCGCCTTCCTCAGCCTGACTCTGCAGTGCCAGCTTCATGCTTACTGGAGCTCTTAGGGTCCCTCACCCTCTCATGAACCTTCACCTGGTTCTGCCTGAGCTTGGTGGAGCTCCAGGGGTGAGGATAGGTGGAGAGAGCAGAGGCCACTGAAGAGACAGGGAGTGCGAGTGGCCCTTCCGACTGTGCCAGCAGAGCTAAACCTGTCCTCTCCACCTCACTGAAAAGCTTCTGTGACCCTCACAGAGGGCTGTAGCTGCTGTTAAACTCTTAAGTCAGCCCCAGCTGGAAGCAGGCAAATCATGCAGAAGTGTGATGTTGCTTTTGTGGTTTTGCCAGCATTTTCCTTTGATATAAAATATGATAAAGACATTTCTCTTTTTCTAATGCCTGGGTATCTGGCAGATACCATTTCAAGACTGTTCAGTATTAGCAGTTTCATTTCCACCTACCATTTCAAAATAGACGAAAAATTTATTGGTTATTGCTGGCAAAACTGTATTTCTGGGCAGCAGGTACAGGTAATGATTTTATTCAGTAAGAGACTGACTTGAGATAGTGCTGCCATCAGCTTTTCAAAGGATATTCTAGGTAAACAGTGCTTTAATAAAATTTAAATAACACAATTTTTGGAAAAGTAAATAAAAAGCATATTCTGTTCTTGAGGGAACTGCTGAGCTTTAAGGTAGTGAAGCAAGCTGTAACCCTTCTAAAAGCAGAGTTTTATTGTTGATGTTGCACTTGACATTGTTGCTTATTTTTCAGTGGATCGGCAAGTGGAGGTGTCACAGAGATGCAGCGAATTAGTGTGACCTGAGGACTGAGCCAGAAGTAGATGACTCGTGGCTTTCATGAATCATAAACAATATTGGTTATGCTGCCTGTTCAGTAAGAGCCACGGGATGCTGCTTTGTTTCACAGCAAGACAACCAGTGAAAACTGGTGCTGCAGAGATGCCCCCGGCAATAACTGCCCTCAGTGTGCATCCAGGTGAGCAGTGCAGAACTCTTTACAGGGCTCGGGGCATAACTGGTACACACCACCTGCT